TCATCATTGGGCTCTTTGAGTACACGGACTTGTAACTATGCAGACATCACAAATCCCCTGAACTTTCAGATGAATCTTAAAAAGGCCTACTGTGTATAATTCTACCTATTCTTTATATTTCTACCTGGCTCAGAGTTAAATCCAGTACTTGAATTAGGGGACAAATGCATTTCCAGATTCCAAAACTAAAGTCTGGGGTTCTAGAATACTGCTTAACTCCAGGAACACAGAAAGTCAAATGACAAAAAGGAAAACTCTCTGCTTATAGTTTATTCTTATGAAACATGCAGCCTTGGAAGGAAATCACCACCAATCCCCAGCTTTGGTCAGGTTCCACTTCTACTTTGTAAAAAGCTTGTAAAGAACATGCTGAGGAGGCAAAAAAGGGGAAGGTTAGTGCAGCAAAAGAAACCAAGGCCAGTAAAACAGAATGAGCAGAATACCACAAACAGCTGAACACATCTAATAGTTCACTGCTCCTCAAATGAGGGTATGTTTTCTTCTTATGTGCCCTTCTCAGCCTTACAGGCCTTACTCTCTCTTCTCAATGGTTTACAGTTGCCATTGGACCTTCTCTGAACAAAGTTCAACTTGCTAGGGCATAACAAAACTACAGTGCCTTTCCAGCTTAGTTTTCTAACTTCTAAACATGATGAGTTGGCTCAAAAACCTGGTCAAACATACAACTATGCAATAGACATAGGAACAAGGGCCTGGCAGTTTTTAGATAAGCCCTCCCAGACTCACCTAAAATACCCAAAGATTTGTATTTATGACACAAGACTTAGCATTTTAACCCTTGAACTGGACACACCAATGGATCCCAGTGTGCATACAGTACTGGTTCAATGCTCCCATCACAAGCAGAACACACTTCTGTGAACAGCCTTTTTGCAGCATCAAGATCAGTTTAAAACGTGTGATGGTCATTAATAGGACAAACCAATATAATTTTGATCTCAAAAACTTCCACTGAAGTTGATGTAAGTGGGGGGTCAGGGGGAAAAGAAAACATTATGGGGACAATGATAATATTTTCTTAAGTGAAAAAGCAGTTTTTTTATTTCAGTAAAAAGGAGATGGTCATGAAGCAGCATGGAAAAATGTAAGGGAGAACATGAGTATCTAACAACAGCTTAAGTTACACAGTCTTTGCTTGAAATATATATGTAGTCTAACTTGCTGAGTTGCCCCCAACAATTCTGTAACAATATCTGTAATACATATTTTATTGTAAATAGTTTAATAAGCACAGACATCCCTTTTAAAATTTTCTTTTAAAAAGGCACAGCTTCCAGACCCCATCTAGCGGTGTGAACGCCTTACAGCAGCCTCCTCAATCAAAACCACATTTAAAGCTTTTCAATGCACTGTTTTTAAAAAAGAAACAATACAGATGGTTTCAGTTTAATGTCCACCTGAAGGAATATAAATACTTACACATTCTAAAAATAGAAAAAAAAAAAGATTTCCAGAATCACTAGTCAGCTTATAATCATAGAATTATATTAGTTTTATATTTATAGCACTTCATATGCTATTTTTGAGGAGCCAACCCACCACATCCAGATCTTATTAGTATACTGGGGTAGAAGGAGAGAATCTCAATTGCTGCACTAAATCTGAGACAGAAGAGATATCAAGCTGTGAATGAACTTTGGAAAAAAGCAAAATGAATCCGCCTCTGTATCCTGACTCAGTCAGCAAGACTAATCAAATTATGATTATTTGAAGTGAGCTAAACTTTCCACAATTCAGAGCTGTGGAACTGTCTCTAAATTTCTTCCTGCATGCCAAGAAATGCTGGCTTCTTAATCACTTCCTTCACTGTAGTAGCCAAGCATAAAGCACTCCCAGCTTCCCATTAGAAAGTTAACCAATTCCATGGCATACAGATAAAATCTAATCATAATCAGGACTTCTTTCCTAGACCTAAAAGTATTCAATTTAAAATTTTTAGGGGTGTTTAATGTTGCTTGACTAAAGAAGTGGACAAAACCGACTTTCCTGGCTGGAGGCATACAACAGCAAGCGGAGACAAATTCTCCCATAACCCAATTGGAGAGAAGCCATGTATTTTGGAGAAAAATACACTGCTGTAAAAATCCTCAGATTTTCTGGATAAATAAGTAGATACAGCTCATTTGCTCCTGCCAAGCAATGGAATCTATATCTGAATTCTCTAACCTACAAGGACATCACTGCTCTATTCAATGTTTTGAAAATGTAGAGCTATCAGTTTAAAACTACACAGTTAGCCATATTCCACTGACTGACATACAAGTTGAGAAGTTAACAGCAAATCTCCCCTTTTCTGATAGTCCATTATCAAGCTGAACAGCATCAAAGAAAAACTGTACTTCCCCTGAGGAGCCTCTGCTGATTAAAACCAGAAATTCAGCATCAAGCCTGATCCCCTTCAAATGAGTAAAGGCCAGCCAAAGTTTTATCAAACCTCACCTGTATCTGTAAAAAGTCTCAGCACACATAGTGCTGCTGGCTGCAGTACATGTTATGCGAAGTTATTGCTAACTACAGTACTGCAACTGGCCACAAACAGCTGGTCTTCAGAATTCCAAGCTTATCACTTGCTGGATTTTGCAGACAAGCAGCAGCAAGATTCCCTGGAGCAGCATCCAGTTATGAACCAAAAAGTAGTGTCTGCATCATCCAACTCTGCCTCTATCTGAGAACTGACAGTAGTTGGGGATATGAGTTTTACAGGAAGCGTTATATCAGCAGCAAATTATTAACTACATTAACTAATTAACCATTTCCCACGTCCCATATTGGAAGAGTGTTGTGGTCCAGCGTAACCCACTTGAAGTTAAAATTTTGGTAACCCACAGTAAACATTTAAATGGAACTACACTTCCCCCTTCCTTCTACCCATTCAACCTCTAATCAAAACCCCACTACCGCACCATGTGATAAAACAGCCAAAGTTTAACTGATGTAGTACTTTCTATCAGCACCTCAGGCGGAATGACAGGACTGAAAAGCTTCCACAATGGCCTCACTGTTACGATGGACTACATCAATACTGAAGGGAAAGAGAAATTTCCTTTGATGGCTTAAGACATAAAAATCCCTCACAGGTGAATGTCATGTGCAGCAATGCAAATAAAAATGTAGACTAGGGAAGAAATACATCTAGCAATTTTTTACTATAGTTACTTATATATTGTGCTATTCAACAATCCCAGCAAAGATTCAGCAATCAAACAAATACTTCTAAATCATGTCCCTCAAAAACCTCTATTCCTTCATCCTTCCTACACTTCAGGAAGTAACACATTTCATGGAAACCAAAAACAGTATAAAAGAGAGCTACAAACATGTAGAGAAGCAAGGATTTTCACCATAAGCAGACTTTTTGACAATGAGGAAAGCATCTGATGCAGTAGCCCTCCTTTGCTGTGCTAGTGGCATGCTTACAGAGGAAGCTTCCTGTTTATCCCTAGATAATTGGAGGAAAATGGAGACTGAAATGGAGAATTTCAGGGCTCTTTAACCCATTCTGCCTATAAAACTCACCAACCAAAGTATTTTTGGCACACATCTTACCTGCAACTACAGCATCCTTTATTATTAATAAGAACAACGAAAATATTCAAAAACTCCCACGCATACCAACTTCAGTTTTATGCAGTCTACCACCCAGACTTACAGCATCATGTGGATTACTTTATCTTTAACAAGAACTTTTTCCCCCGATAATTAAGTATATTTTCCCCAGAAGAGACTGTAACAAAAACATAGATAAATGTGTAAATTCTGGCTTCCACTTCCTCACCAATGTGAGGATTGTATCTTTAATGATCTAAAATTAATACATTTTTTTCCTTGTATGATAAAGTGACACAATTACATTAAAAAAAAAGGTCCAGCTTTCTAGATTAACAAATTAGATCTACAGAGACAAGTAGAAGTTTTGTCAAGTGCACTGTTACTTTAAAAAGACTAAAATCCAGCCTAATTTATTTAAATACGAGAGACACTGACTTTGGCAGCCCGCTAGCAGGCTTCAGATCATTCTGAAGAGACCTCTTTCCTGAGAGTTTCATAGGGAAAAAAATCTGCAGTGGCAGCAGAGTGCTTTAGGGCCATTTTCTTTTCCTAAGCCAAGCATATCCTTCTCACTGTGTTTTGGACACATCTCTGATCAAGCAAAGGAGGAGAGCTAATGGCTATCCCAAAAAAATGGTAGCTGAAAGCAGACTTGACACCTGCATTCATTTATGTTACAGCTGGCATCCAATCACACTTAACCCACCACAGATTTTTATGATGGAAAAATGAACATTCAGAATCTGAAAGACTGAAAAAGCCTAATCACTCATGCATGCCAAAGTCTGGTATTAGACATTGTATACACTTTAGACACAGTAGACACTTTAGAACCCAGTCTAACCATATTTCAAGCTGCAACCTAATTCTCTTGTTTTTAACTCTGTGCAAATCTGGAAGCACATTATACAGCCAAATGATTATACAGATGTCTGTATCACTCAGGAAGTCATGTTAAACTCAAACACTGAGTAAAAAGCTGCCTTGACCACACTCTCTAGTCAGCGACTAAAAACTGAGCTGGGCAGGAAAAACAAACTGTAAACCAGGCAGTGCCAACCACAGCTTCTTCCAGTAGTACCAAGACAGTGGTAAATATAATGATGAGAACTTGACACAGAAATCCAAGCTAATCTGCAGTGGTGAGGCCAGGCAGGCTTGGAAAAAAGTCACTTACCTTAACACTGAAGATCTAGCCCTATTTTAAATCAAATTAGACCATAAGTATGAATAAGAATATTAATTATGCAAAATAATCGATTACCAATATTGCTGCTAACTTTGTTCTGCATCTTTTCTTACTACCATATACACTGACTTAAATTTAAAAACTTAAATTAAAAAAAAATAAGAAAAAAAACAACCAGCATGCCATCACCTCCCAAGGGAAAGAAATAACACAGCATAAAACAAGGAGAGCCAGATCATACCTCTGAGGTTTACGAATATCCCAGAGTCCCACACCTTCCTTAGAGTTGGCAGTAGCCAGTAATCTGGGTTCTACTGGATTAAACATCACACTGTGAAAGGCTGATGGGTAGTGCGCCAAGCAGAAGGGCTCTGTTGAAAAAGTTGAAATTTCAGACATAAGAACAAACAATGCATTCAACTGTTTGATGCAAGGAGTTTGGCCGCTGAATATGGAAACAGCCTAACAAGATCTGAAGATATGGAGACATGTTCAAACCACTTCTCAAGCTGACACATTCTAAGTAATATAAAACCTGGAGTTCTAAAATCCACCCACGTGTACATTAATTCTGTCTAAATATGGAAAAGGACACATACTGAATTTCAAGACACCATTTTCTTTACGGAAGGTTACCAGAGTTTAAAACTAGCTATTGAAAGATCAAATACTTGAATCTTCTTAAGGTTCATGACCAAATGCTCATCTGATAGGGATTGTACATAGAGGGGCTTCTGAAAGCTTCCTAGTAACATATGCCTGAGAGCTTCCACAGCTATTGTTGATTACCCAAACCATAAATGTAGCAGCAATTGCTTCCAGGAAAGAATAATATTATAAGAAGTGAAATAAGTTTGTATGAAACTCAGCTCAAAGCAAGCTGCTGACCCTGGGGAAAAGAAGCCTACCACCTCTTAAGTGTTGTACAAGTAGACAAGAAGGGTGTTCCTCTTTCATAAAAAAACAATGTTAACAGTTAACTCGTCCTGTTCACACACAGAGTAGAAAACATGCTCATTCAGATTCTCCCTCTCATAAAATTGTGCTTGGACTGCTACTCTGCCTTATTTATTCCATCAAAATACTGTCTCTATGAACAGTGGGGAAAAGCCTTGAATCTGTTACCTTCTTTCTGTTCCTGTGAGCTTTAAAGCTTTAGGCACAGTCTAATTTTCTTCCTTGTTTGTATCTTTTGTGGCATGCTGCCACTCTTTCAATCAAAAAACCAGAATCAATCCCTATTTTGAGCCAGGGACTTGGCCAGACTTTCCCATTCACTGTTTGCTTTGGTGCAACTCCTGTGTCACTCACACACATGGGAGACAGCTATTGTGCTCATATATATATATATGTGCTCCTTATCTGAGCCACCAAGTGCAGCATCCATAGCCCCACAGGCACTTCCAGAGTTATGCCGTTTCTTTCCTCATTTCCCTCATTACCACATATAAAACGTGGTTAAGCATGTTAAGCAACCTTCTCAAATTCCCAGTATGTTATGAAATGACTGCCTATCAAGCAAATGAGACAGAATTAATATTTACTTGTCTTGTCTGTACCCTCCTCTCATGCTCCATTACAAGTTTTTCATCAGGGATTTTCCTTTTTAGTGTCTCTTTAGCAGTGATGAAAACAAGTCTCTGAGCACAGATGAAGCTCCATGGTGCTAATCATTGTCATAAGAGTCAAAAGTAAAAAGAAGAAGCCAACTTTTGTTCTGCTAGTCTGCCCAATGATTTTAGAAAATGCTGTTGGTTTGCCAGCTGCTGCAAATAAGGTTTAACACCAAAACTGACATTCTATGTTTGCATCATCAAATCAGAATCCTGCTGGGTCATAAAAGTCTGTGTTATTAAAATGGCAGTCCCCACTGAGAAGCAAAGGCCTGCATCAGCTAAGTGGAGAGACAAACATCAGATTGCCAAACAAAGGAGCTGGGGTTTAATTTAAATCTGTGTATATTTCCTTAGTCAAATCACTGTCACTAATAACTGGTGCTTGCCTTCATATCTTTATTATAAATAGATTGGCACCATGGTTTTCTTGTAAGATATCAGAAGTTGCCTTTCAGCCAGTCGAAGAGAGATTACAGGAGCTAAACTAATGAGACTCTAAGTCATTTTAATTAAAAGTAGGGGGATTACTTTTCTATTGTTCCTTATGCTCATTCACAATTGTAGCTCTTATACACTGGAGAATGAACATGTTTCTGAAGGGAGCAGCTCAACACCATCTTTAATAAAAATTTTAAGTAGTCCTTTAAAACAGTAACAGAACTGTAAAGACCAGGGCTTGCCAATCATGGCCAAAGTAATTATGCCTCACTTTCACCCTTCTCCAAGCTCACTGTCTCAACTGCCCTAGATTAGCATAACTTTTCTCTCCCTAGCCTTGCATGAATTCTTCCTAAGTCAATTATATTTTCCTTCTAGAGATCTTACCTCCATGGGAAGATTCTCGGATGTCCCAAATAAGAACGCGGCCATCATCTGATGAACTAGCAAAGATGTTGTCGTTTACTGGGCTCACGGAAAGGCCATACACTGCATCGTCATGGGCAAACACATCCAAGGTCTCAGTGCTGGAAAAGAGACACAACATTATCAAAAACAAAGACATTAACATTATTGCTGTTTTTTTATAAAGCAAAGTATTTACCGCTTTATATACTTAGTAATACATTGTGACAAAGTTTCTGTAATTTCATAAGAAGACCCTGGTGTTTAATTAGAATAAAAAACAAACAAAAAGTAAAAAACAAAGTACAGTGACTTCATGCTATGAGGAAAAAAAATCTCTCAAACTAAAACCCAAACATTAAAAACTTCAGATACGGCAAGGTGCTATGGAACACATGATGCATTAGATTTGAGTTTGGGAGGATGTAATGGGAAAGGGAAACAAGCCCTGGAACCTCTGGAGTCAATTTTTACTACTTAGTGTAAAAAGGAAAACAAGACAAAAGTTCATTCTTCAATACAGCTCTCTGTTTTGTCCAAAAGTTCAATTGAAGCACACATAAGAGCTTTCCAGATGGCTTTTTCAATAAATTTTCTTGGTTTTTCAGAGTAGACCAGACCTATATTTTTCCATGTAAAAAAGCAGTAATAAAACAACAAAATAAAAATAATTCCCCCAAAGTATATCTGGATTTCAGCTGTTTCACAGCTATAAAAAAAAGAAAAAGCACATTCTCTATTTTTTTCCCAATGTTTTAAACAATCTAAAAAGCTGGAATAGTGGTATGGAGAGGTCAAAAACTGAAATATTAAATAAGAAGTTCCTGGGACTGCTTAATTTCTATTTAAAAGCCCTTTTCTTTCTTTAGGGAATAAACTTTATATACGATCCCTATATCTCATCTCATGGAAGCTGTACCAAAGAGATCCCACATAAAATCAGCATTTTGCTCTTGTGGCAATTGATGTCTTGGTGCATACCTACATACTCTGTCTCAGGAATCATTAATAAAAAAGGGGGGAAAAAAAGGCAGCAACAGAAAAAGCCATTTACAGTTACAAAAAAGCAGTTGACAGACCAAGTGTTATCATTAGAAAGGGATTAATTTTCCATAGAAATCAATCAGAATTCAGTCTACTAAGGTTTCTTTTAGAAGATCATAAAAAATAGCCTTAGAGGAAGGAATTCTGTATGGATTACTACATGGACTTAGCATACCTAAAAAAATAAAAACCTGATAACAAAAGCACATTAAAAATATGCACATATCAAAAAGACTTGCCAAAACATCTAAACAAGATACAGCAGGAAAAAATGTGCTACATAGAAAAGTTAAAATTACAAAGATCTTGTAGAATCTTAAAGTCACAACACAATCAACACCAGCATCTAAAACTGATATTTCCATGTTAAATTAAAACAAGAAAAACAGAACACCAAACAAAAAAAAGTCCTCCAAAACTGAACACACCCCCCCAAAAAAAAAACCAAACAAAACACCCCTCCCAAAAGGCCTAAAATGTTAAAAACAAAACAAAAACGCACAAACACTGAACAACACGATACTCCTGAGAAACCATCAGAACAGAAGACAAAGTTACTTTTTCCCAGCCTGCATATAAATTTTATGCAAGAAGCAGACATAAGGTATGATGGAAAGCTGAGATACACTGAACAATTCAATGCAAAAGGCTTTGGACAAACACATCAAGAAATACGTCCATATTATGCTATTCAGGAAACTCAAACGTAAGACTTTATATTTCTCTGTTCTTACATATATCTCTTCTTGCTTTTTCTTGAGTTCATGTTAAATGAATGGTCAATGCTTAAATTTGTGGAAGTTATTAGTACAGACCAAAATTTGAATTTTTTTTTTTACTTCAAAAGCAGTAAGGTCAATAGACATAATGTCTAGAGAAGTCCAATTCAATATATTACTGCTACAGTACTAATTATACTTTAACTAATTGCCTGATCTTGATGTATCACAACAAAGCCTAATTCCCAACTGTTTTGTAGTTTTGATAGAAAGAAAGTATCAAAACCAAAATTCTTCATGTTAGTGTGGCGAATCAGGCACCTGCTTCCAAAATTTTAACAGGAAGTTTGGTAGGCCAAGCACTAGCCATCTTAAACACAAGTCAGGTGAGTCTGTTGAAAAACAAGAAGTCTATGTGCCAACACTTGTTTATGTGCCAGAATAATTTACTCAGAACCTACTACACTGTCTGCAGGAGAGCATATATATTTAATTACTATTCTCATTCCTGAGGTCAAAATAATAGAGAACCCTAGTGTAGAAAAAGAAAATGGAGTGATGGGGAATACTTCATTCCAGTTAAGAACTTAGATTAATATAAACACATCTCAGTATTGAGACACTGTTCTTCTCCTAAACTATTGACTTAAAACAGAAAATGCTTCCAGTAAGTTGACATTAAAGGAGTTCTTGAAGCAGTGGAAACACAAACTGTGTATTTACCTTTCGACATCATGGAGTATAACTTGCTCATCATTGCCTGTAAAGAGAAATACAAGCAATTAACACCATGTTCTAGCAATTACAAAGCATTATAGTGAAAAAAAAAAAACCCAAACCACCTTTTAAAAAAAAAATTTACAATTTCAAAGCCACTATTGAAACAGAGACCAGCTCAGTTGCTACGTGGTTACCCTCTGCTCAGTTATATGAAAGGTTCCATGTGATATCACCAAATGAACCAGCCTGTTTCGTCTGCTACTGCTCAACAAATAATTGTATTTAAATATGCTATTAATCATTCTTTGTCTAGTTTGAGCTTAAGTTTGGGGAGATTTGCAACAAAGACTATTACATGAAGCAGCAGAACACTTTCAAAGAAAGATACATCTTTCTTCCTGGTCAAAGGATCCTCCATAAAAAGATCACAGAAGGTGCAAAGAAATGTCTTAAATGAGATGCAGGTGGCCCCCTGATCAAATGTTGCCAGCTAACACTGTTAGCATTCAGGGTTCTGCAACCATTGAGAAGGTACAAATGTGACAGCCAATGTAATTTTTTCTGTATTAAGCAAAACCAAACCAAGTAACCAATAATGTCACGTTTCTTTGATCACACCAATTGAATATAATGGAAACTAACCACATGTGTGCAGGCTAAGAGGGTCACAGCCACCAAGTAATTCCAGTTAGCTCATGCAGAGTTCTTCATGCTATAACAACAGATTATTTTTTTAGTCTCTGTGCTGAATATTTTATTACCTAAATTTGGCACCTCTTCCTTAGAAATATTTAAGGACGCACAGACTTCTATATTTAATTCAGAAAAAAACCAAACAACCCAAAATCAGAAAACCTGCAAAGTCATATTTTTATGCTTTGTATATATTTGTGATGAAGAGTTGTGAAGCTTTCCTAATGCACACTAAAGAGAGAGGTTGAGAAGGAGCAAGATTTCATGTTATGATTCTTAAATGTTCAGTTGACTCAGTTTTCATTTATCTCATACATATTTCACTTGTATTCTGTCTCAACAGAGAAATATGAGAAAGTTTCTCTTTGACTAGTGAAGTATGAGATTTTCTACAACCATTAGCTCTTTGCCCAGGCTCCTAGTAGAATCATGCCAGCCTTAGATTACTGCAGTAGCTCATCTTTTCCATGGTGCAATAAACAAATCATTTAAGTGTAATTGTCCTTTGATCAATAACCGTATTTGGAACCGCCCATTATATGTTATTACACACTGTTTATCCTGAGTAAAACTACTCTAGTGCCTATGTATTTTACCAGTGAAAAACGCAGCCTAGTTTCTCCAATGACAAAATTTCCTCCAGCAGACACTCCTGCCTCTTCAATCTCCATCTAGTATGAACAAAAGAATCATTCCAGTTGCCTGGTTTCAGGCATCCAGTCATCATGGGATCACATTCCCTTCCATCACAAGCTCCAAAATGAGAAAGTAAGAATGAAAGGAGAGTGGAATAACAACTGTTTTCCTCTGTTCCCTATGTGGGAGGAGAAAATAGTGACAAAAATCTAACCACAAACTAGATGCTTCTGGTAAGGATTCATCCCTGCAGAAAACATCACTGCTGCTCAGCCCAGGGGGGTTCCCACCCAGAGTGCTTTTACGTTAACACTGGAGAGTTCATTCTTCATTGAAACTGAGTCGTAATTGTGTACACAACTGTGTCATTTATAATCTCTCAGTTTGATAACTGCAGTTACAACAATCAGAAAGACAGGAAAAATCTGTCATTCCCTTCAGCTATACTTGTAAGGGTGAAATACTGCAGAGCACATACAGAGGAGAATAGTTAAGGTGGCCTAAACCTCATATCTGTTGTATAAGTGCTAAAATAACCAAATTCAATTTCCTGTAGGTTTATTTCAGCTTTTCATATACCTAACATTAAGTGCAAGTAAAAAAAATGTCCACACAGTTTACTAGGAAGGGATCTTGCATTTCAAATGCTGCTCTACTCTCAGTGTGTGTGGACAAAGAAGGGCAAAATTATTCTTCAGAGATAGGAACTTCTTTGGGACAGTTTCTCCTCCAGAGATGACATGCAAAACATTGTCCACTCAGTTCCTGCCTTCCATTTTTGTAATGGCTACATGGGGTGCTTGCTCCTTCAAAGCAAAGAGCACTGAAATTCCTTGGATGCAATCCAATTTGTACTGAAGTGGAAAATCCCTTCTCCTCTATTATCAAGAGTTGCTTTAGAGAAAGGTCATCACATCCTAAGTCATTAGTCATTGGCAGTCATTTATTTACAGAGTAAATTGAGTTCTGTGTGACTTGTGCTAGTTCATATATTCTAATTTTTAGTTTTGGGAGTTTTTTAAGTATTCCAACTTGCATGATTTATATACAACTCCAACCTCAGGTGAGGGTGTGGGTGTCTGTGTGAAAACCAGTAGATCTTAGAACCCACAATTCTTTCAGACTTTTTAAGAATCTCCCAGAACATCATTGAGTGGATAAATATAGCTAGCCCCATTTTACCAACAGAGATAAAACAGATGGTACATCTAGGCCATGCAGCAAAATGACTCTTTACAAGGGATCCAAGAGTCAGACTCACAGCCCTTGCAGATGAGCTCACTGAATCTCGATGGAGCCGCTGAAAGACTTCCTGACTCCTCCAATGGAAATAATTTCTAGCAGAAGCACAGTGTTTTTATGAAAACTGGAGGAGGAAAAAGATATGAGAACGGCCAGTTTCTCTGTGCATTGGCTGTCACAGCTCATCTAACCTGGCATCACAGCAAAAATCCACTATCAATTATATAAATCTTTATCTACAGGTGTTAACTTCAATAACAAGGTAGAATCAAGCCACTCATCTGCCTTTACTGTGAAAACAGCAGCCTCTGACAGCAAAGACCAATGGATAGAGGACTGAGCTGGACATGAGAAAATACCATTCCAGCTGGTCAAGTGAGATTTAGCACAATTTATTCCTTGAATATTCATGTAAGGTTCCATTTGTCTGAAATTAAACTAAAGTAAAAGACACTCTGGCCCAAAATTCCACTGGAATCAGTTGTGCAGATATATTAATTTGAAGAGAGCATGTATTGCTATTTTTGTCATAAAACAAACAGCACTCCCTAGAATAAGAAGATAGGCATCACCATTTGACAATCTAGGGGTTTATTCCACCTGAGAAGTGGAACGATTTCATCCTTGAAATCTGACACCAGCTTAAGCTCTGTCATGTCTTTCTATCTTAGGGATATTATAATTTTAACACAACACTGAAGGATGAGGAGCTTCCACCATCATTCACATGCACTCAGAATCAACCTCTAGCACTGATTTACAGTTCACAAATCTTGGGTCAACAAGGTAATGAAGGGCTTTGACCGAATAGTCTCATAGTACTCTAAAGTAAGTCTAGCTGTATATTAATGGACATACTAATGAAAGATACAATTCTCATCCATTCTGTGACCATGTCAGATAGTGGAAATGAAGTACAGAAGCAAATGGCACTTGACTGCATTGACACTCATGTACCTTTTTCTTCTCAATTCAATTTTCCTCCCTATCTCAACACATTAAAAAATCAAGTGGTGAAATGGATCTAAATTACAGAAACTATTACTCCAGAACAAGTCTATGTCCACTTTCCTTACCTTAGTTTTAAGACCAAATTAAATTTTCTAATAAAAAGTAGATTTCTATTAAAAAGAGATGAGAGCATCAAGGGTTATCAGAACCCAATGTGCCAACAGTTCAAAGGCAGAGGCTTACTTAGTAAGAACGGAAATGGGGTCTAAGAAAACATGATCCACCAATAGATGGCAATAGTCCTTCATGAGCCATCTAAGGGTGCATTGAAATCAGACAGTAGCATAAAAGATTTTCAAGCATCAGGCGTGAGCGACAGAGAGAATGCAGGGACTGCTCTTAGTACAGCTAAGAAGGAATAACAAAGAGTGTTTTCCACAGTCTTTTGCACAAGTAGAGGCAGACTAGACCCAGGATTCTCACAATGGTTCAAGACATCATGAGTTTACACCAGGGTTTGGAAAAAGGCATGACAAAATTGAAAATGTTGTGCTAGCTAAAGTAGAGCACAACCTGTTCCCAAAAAAAATCAAATTTCTGATTAAGAACACCTTCCAGGCCTCATATGGGGCAGGGTATCACTCATGGTTTCTACTCCAAGGCATTCACAATACATATTCATGTGAAATCAGGGTGCTCTTCCTTACCTCCAGAAAACACTTTTGTATTACCACTGTTGAAAGCTAGGCAGAAGATGTTAGAGTGATGCTCCCCTTTCAGCTGAACTGGTTTGACTCTTGAGTGGATGGCTTCTTCCATATGCCAAAGTAAGACTCGGCGGTCATCCCCTCCTTGAAGAAATAAAGGAAATGTACATTACTGCCTGAACCACATGTAAACTGATTACAGACAAATTATTTAATTCTGCAGCTATTCATAAAAAGTTGCTAAAACCCTTAATTAGCATAAAAATGTAAGCCTTTTTGGATATATAGACACACATTTACATTAAGATGTCATGCAGTCAGGTTTTCAATTAAAATTAATGAAAACAGAGCAATCAGCAGGAAAAGTTTGAATTAAACAGCTGCCATTCTGCCAACACATAGTGACAATCTATAGCAACCTGGAAACTCAGAAATTTACTGCTATGTAAAATTCCATGGCAAGCTGTAGAGGAATTACATGCCAATTCACATATGCATGTTGGCAAAATGCTTCTACACCAACTCCTTGTTGTCAGCATTGCTTATGTTAATCATAAAATACTAACTTTTTCCTCCTTTCACTGACAACTATATATCCTCTAGCAGTCTTTGCAAAGCCTTCATAGCATAGGCTGGCTCAAGACTGATAAAAGATAAAAAAATTTTACTAAAGCATTCAGAAGTCTTCAGCATGCACAGTTATACCAGGCTTCTAGACCTGTAAGGGTTAAGATAGGTTTTTCTGGGGTGAAGTCCTGACAAAGAGAGTACCTGGAGAAAGGAAGTTCAACTCTCTTGCTTTACATCTTGCTGTACTCCTAATTGCTTGCCTACATGCAGTTCTCAGTTCAGAGCTCTCTACATAAATATATTTAAGTGCCTCCTTCTCTGTCTGGCAAACAGTTATACATAAAATAAATATTAGACTGTTTGTGCTTCAACTGAATTTAGTTATTATTTATTAGGAAAAGAAAAAAAATCAAGATACGTTTGTATTGGTCAGCATTCTCAGCAGAAATTTTGAATGCCTGTAAAATCTGAATAAGGTTTCCTCAATTCAGACTCAAAAGATTTTTGGTATCTGTCTTTAATAACAAATGAAAGAGAATGGCATCACAAATGAAAAGTGACACCAGACACATGCTGATTAGAGTTAAAACATTTTACTGATTCTTTGCACAGTCAAAAGCCTAAACTCAGAGCCTTTTGAGCTGCTATCCAGAGGACAAAGGCATCAAAAAGAGAAAAAAAGAAACCAAAATTACTTGGCCTGCTGTTTACTTACAAAAAAGGTAAATGCATAAATAGATTTCATTACTACTGTTAATCTGATTTATTAGAACTTTTCACATCATATGTCGCTATTAAGAAATTTTCCCATGGAACTGAGTTATGTCAAACATCCTACAAGTAAAAAGTCTCTCAGCCTTTGAGTCTCCTAACAGATTTTATGACACTTTGATAGACAGTACAGCAGCATGTTATGCTCCATGAAATTGTGTATTCCTCCTCCTGATTTTGTACTTCACATATCAAACAAGAGCACATGATACAAAGGTTTGTGATGCATTTGATAGCTATGAGAATGAGTCAAATTTGATGGATCCAAAATCTCACAGTTATTTATGGTCAACTGATCTGATGGAAACTTATACTCCTTTCTGTTTAGAAATAGGAGAGAAAGTTGTATTTGCACTCTAGTGATTGCAGATAAGCTTGTAATAAGGAGACATAGAAATACATGAGTGTTGAAATGTATGACCATGTTATTCAGGTTAAGATTAAGAAGTAATTATCACACTGAAGGTGACTACTTCCCAAAGCTGCCAACCAGCATGTCATTGTTATCACTACCTGAAAAACAATTAAATCAGCATTTAAAATAGGTGAATGCCAACAGTGCTTCTATCAGAATTCATTTATTACCTTTTGTAAAAGACATTTCAGGGCAAAACATAGTACCATATTGTTGTTTGTTACCATAGCAAACTAATTTGCAAAACCGCTGCAGAAAGTCTACACATCCTTCTACCTAACAGCACAGCCATCTAGGTGTCTCATTTTAACACTAAACTCAATCATTTCCACCAAACACTGGCCAGATACAAAAAAATTAAGATATCCATATGAAACAAGCATTACTGTGGTTCCCAGCACACATACAGTATGGTAGGAGTATGATAATTTGCAACCTGTGCAGAAAAGTGTTTAATAGCGTGAAAAGAGAAGCCACTAGCTTCTCTTTTATAAGTTCCTATACCTTAGTGTCTGTGTGCCTTGGAAACTACTTTTCCTGTTCAATACAAATATCTCCCTCTTCCCAGACACTTAGCTCTCCATAAAACATTGGTGGTGGCACATTCCATACCTTAGGAGCTTTTAAATGCTCCCCACACTCATGCAGTGCTGTCCCTCCTCCACCTATGTATTCTCTTGTACATCCTTGTTATTGAGAACTTCTACATCTGTTCACAGTTTTATACCTCTCTTATCTCACTGAGACATAAAAGTTTAATGAAATAATAACATTAACTGCATTGAAAGTGTATTCCCTTCTAATTTCAATTTGACTATTCTAGAAATACTTCTGACTTAAGGCCAGTTCCACCAGAAAGAAAAAGTTACTCAGTGTGTTGGACCACAGAGGATTTGTGGCAAACAAGACACTTCAGCAATCCCTACATCCTCACACAAGAGGACAAGCAGTGTTAAGTCACAGGCAAATAATACCCAAGAAAAGGCACTCTGTTACCCAAACCCAACTCTTACCATAGGAGGGAGGTGCACATGTATGGGCAGGTGTACAGGGAGAAAGTAAAGAAAATGTGAATATATAGTTTTTATGCTATGTAGAAAGGAACGATGATTCATCAAACACACATTATGCAACGTAAGTTACAAGTCTAAAAACTATAGGAAACTTCAGGTCTGTAACATTTGTTCTGTGCAGTAGATCTGCAAATGCAGATTAATTAAAATGCTTTCAATTCATGGTGAATTTACTGTGCATGTACATCAATTCTACAACCGTAACAGAAGCCACATTCTTAAAATAATATAGAACATATACCAACAGCAACAGGTTTATCATATCTGGAAAACCTGGATATATGGCTTCATATTCAAGTATGTTAGTCAGCAAGGCTCCACATGTGGATTTTCTGGAAACTGAAGATCCACAGGGAATTCATAATTTTTCATTCCATGGCGTCAGAAACAGTAAGCTCAACATTTACAATGAGGAAATAGCTTCATTTTCATTTTACTTTGCAGATTCTGTTTAGGACTGTATGACTGACAATTTGAAAAGTTAAAGTTTGTGTGACCCAGCTAACTACACAATGCCATTCTACCGTTATTTTTCAGAAAGAAACCACATTTTAAAAGATTTAATTAGTCAAGTACTTCAGTCCTCATTACAGGAGCAGGGTCAGACCTGTGGGAACATTCAAAACTAGAGATGCAGGAAGAGAAATATATTCATTTTTAGACCTCAAATAGTTTGAAGGGGGCCAGAACATACCCTTGCCAAAAGTAAATCTAGTCCAAACAGTACCTGCATAGCTCATGAAACACACTTGAGCTCCTGTGTACTAACAGAAGCACTTCAAAATCATACCAGTCAGTACTGAAAAACTGCAGTTTCAAAGTGCATTAACTTTGCTGGTTGTGGACAAAGCTCAAGACCACTACTCCCCTTTATCTCCCATATACCGAGTCCATTTGCTAAAGAACCTACATGGCAAGTGGGCAATACTTCAAAATTATAACATGAAAGATTAGTCCTCTTTCTTGTATCTACTTCAGAAGTTGCATGAATCACAGGAAGCAGGATTGGATGGTATTTCAAGAAGTTGATCACTTGGTTGGCCTTGGACAAAGGCAAAAGGCCAGGCTCTGTCAGAATTATTCCCGGAAGATAAGTCTCTAGTTTGCTCTTAAAAAAGCACTGCTGAGGTAGATACACTCCTTAGGCAGCCTATTTCAGTTTTTCATTATCCCTGCTGTTAGGCAGATTACCCTATTATATCAAGCCTGAGGGTGCAGTTTGACATTACATATAATCCCATTCCCCCTTGCCATGTGCTCCTGCTACTTTCCCTTCCATTGGATTCAGTGGCCATTCAGGCACAGGATAAGTTAAAGAAGTTGACCTGACAAAAAAAATCAACTGAGAGACAAAACCTCTCCCTATGTATTCTGTCCCCGATCAGATGCTTTCATCATACCAGTTTCAGACTTGAAACTACAAAAGTACCACAGTGCAAATAATGAAAAGGAGAATAAGTGAATGAGTTACAGGATAAAGGGAAAATGCAAGATCAAACAGCACCCTAAAATCTTTTGTCCTGTAATTTGAGACCATTTCTTTGCCCTATTCCCAGCAGACAAAAAAAAGTTTACAACTTCACATAATAGTAATAATTAAAAACACCTTTATGCAACTCAGGACTTGCATTTCTACTCAGCTGTTCTTTCTGTAGACTAAATGGACCCCTTCCCTTCACTATTTTGTTCTTCTAGGCCTCTGATCATTCTTCATGCCCTCTTCTACATTTTCTCAGTTTGGGCACATCTTGCTCAAAGTACAGTGCCCAAAACCGAGCCCAGCACTCCATTTGAGGCAGCAAACACACCACAGCATGTTTACTTCACATGCTTTGTCATCTCTGATCATATTTATGTTGTGATATTTATGCGTTTGGATCCTTTTCTACATGACTATGGGTGACTCTCCATGGTGTATTTGTAGAGTTGACCATTTTTATTCACATGCTGCACACTGCACTTGAACCTCTCAAAACACGTGACTTTTTTTCCCCAAATAATGTATCTTAATTAACTTGAACTTCAACTTCTATCCCCTGAAATTACTGCTGCCTGATTCTATCTTTCGTGAAAAATTTTATCATTTCTCAGACATTAATTAAAACATGATGTAGTAACTGAACCTAATATCCTTCCTCACACAGTATTCTGCTTGATACAGACCAAGATCAGACCATCCCTCCTTAAAACATACTTGATACACAATCCCCTTATTCAGAATAGATTAGACATTTGCTGAAGTCACCTCATGTCCCTGTTTTAGGTTCATATTTCTTCAGATTTATGTAAAAGCTAAATGACAGATGCATTTCCAATACTTTCTAGCACCCTCACAAATTTAGGATCATAGAGCAGCTATTAACTTTTGCATTATCTGGTAGGAGGGGAAAAAAAAGTCATGAGAAAAGGAACACTGGCATGGATTAAGTAAGTCTCTGATTACAGTACTTCCCAGAAGTTATCGTGAAAATGCAGCTTAAAGTACGTAAAAAAAAAAGTGGGAGGTTCTGATAAAGATACTCGTGTTTGTAAAAGATAGCAGGCATGAAAAATGACAGATAAACAAAGAGGAAACCATATCCACCAAACCTAAGGATGGGAGAAAAACTATTACACAGACCAAGTAAAGCTGAGTTTTAAGAAGTCAAATTGCAGGAGATGCTTGGCAAATGTGAGGGAAGAGGTAGTTGCCTACCATTGCATGGTGATTTTTATTTCCATGCATGGACAGTCACGTGTTCCTCAAACTGTTACAAGAAAAAAACACTATCTAGTACATAAAGTGTTGCAAAGACATTTTGCCCAATAAAATCTTCCAACTCTTTCCAGAAGCACGTTTTAACCCATTTCAACCCACTTAGACATTTTTTGTATGTTAAGCTTTCCTCTTCCCTTGTATCATTCTACAGGTAGTTTTTCTCTGCTTGTCATACTGTGGGAACTGACAATGATTGAACAAGAGATTTTTAGGCTTCAGGCACTAGCTTGAGCCTGTGGGAAAGTTGAGTACAAAACTTCCTCACTCTGGCCCGGGAAATCATAAGGAGGAATCCAAACAGTCCTTAGAGAAGGAAAACAACCTTTGCAGGTGTTGTTTGTTGCCTTGTTGTTTTCTTGCAAGGAACAGTCGAGGGGTGTTGTTCCCAACTGTCCAATGATGGTGATGCATTAGTTTGATGACCAATGAAAGTTTTATCTTTTTGGACCTTCTCGGAACTGTCTATAAAAGAAGATCTGGAAGAATAAAAAGCACTCTCTTCTGCAACTAAGCTAGAGAGTCTGTGTCGTCACTACTGCCATTCCTAATACAGTGCAACAGTCACACTACATCTTCTCCTGAGTGTCCACCTCCTCCTTCTGATTTTTTCAAATTCTTGTCTTTATGTCAGTCCCTTCTTCTAGCACCCCTGTCCTAGAACATTAATCTCTGCCCTTCTTCCCCTCTATAAAGTGACACTGTTGAGTTTCACACAGGTACAGAAAGAACCTTCAGACTGGCCACCAATTCAATCTGTGGACCTCAACTTTTTTATTTTGAAACACTGTTAAGAACAAAAAAAATACTACTAAACATGTATTTGTCTTGTACTTCTAATACAAGATCTAAAGAAGCTAAGATCCCAAAAAGTTTCAAACATGCTTTCAGAGGGCCTGCTGAGGCTTGTCTACACCGAAGTCCTCCCAAAATCCTAAGAGGAAAATTATCTGTAACTGTAATATAAACCCTGATTAAACAGTTTGAATTGTTTACTGAAACAGTAAACATTAGTCTTACAGACTTGCTTCTGTAAGACACATTAAAAAGAAAAAAATAAAGAGGGAAAAAAAAGGGAAAAAAAGAAAAAAAAAAAAAAAGAGAGGAAAAAGAAGTGGGACACATACCTGAGGAAAGCATTCCAGCCAAATTATAAGAACAGCACTAACTTGGATGCAGGCTGGTATTTCAACTGCATTGGCATAGCCACTATGAATGTACTGTATCAGCTGTAGTTAAAACAGCTCTAACAAGGTCTAAGTTGTCAAGTCTTTCAGCCAAAGCAGACTTCTCTAGGTTACGAATATGCATATTACTTAAGATAGAACAACTGAAAAGACTGCTTGCACTCTCCCTTTTCATGCACTCCAATATGAAGTTGTTATTATTACCTGTTAACTCTCCTAGTTGCTGTAAGTGCAGTTGGAAGCACCCAACATCTCATCCTTACTTCTGTACGCTATTTTGAAGGAAGAGAGACCCTCATGCCACCAATTCTAAGGCTTTATCTGTATTTGGAAGTCTTTTGAAGCAACTCTTCTACAAAAATTTAGAGTAGAGGCAACTTACACCCTTCCTTTACCTTTTCTCATTGCTCTTCCTGCTGTTGCTATTTCTCAGAGCTTCAGGATCAAGTACAACCTTTAAAAGGAGCGCTTTGAGCATCATTTTAATGAAGCTGTCTTATAATGGTGTGAAATTTAACAGAGTATCCATTAATATTTGGACTTTTAATTTCTTGTTCCTGTCTGAAGCACAAAATACCTGCCTGCTGTTGCTATGGCCCATAAAGCATTCTAGATATTATGGTCATGGCTAACACGAAACTTTTTTAAAAGAAAGTTACCATAATTAGAACTTTTCATTTTCTCAGGGCATCAGTAGAAGGTCAAACTTAAGGTAATTTGTTCTTAGTTATCCCAAATTTGTGCATTGCTAGCACATGTAATTTTTTTCTTTTTGAGGGTAGAACTCTAGTAGCATGTAAATACTACATATGGAGGAAGATCTTACCGTCTTTGAACATTCTGAAGCTCTGTGAAAAAGTTAGGAAATTGAAAAATGGATGCTGCTTGAAAGTCTTCCTTTTGCATACACTTTTTTAGATACCCACTAGATATGAACTCTGCCTTCCTTTTTTTTCTGCACCTACCTTGATTCAGGGAGTTTGGACAAAATTAATTCTTAAAAGTCCATTCCAGCCTTGGACTGTTCATACTTCGGCCTAAAGAATGGATGTCAACATAGGTAAGTGCATTGATGACATGGCAAGACCTAAAGTATATCCTGAAGCCTTCCTGAGCAAGAACAGAAAATACTGGTGGTGTTTCCATAACTTATTATGGAAAATAAAAAAGAAAAAAATAAATACACTTGAGTTCTCCGTAGCACTTTATAAGTAAAACTACATCGCTCTACTTTCTACTGGAGAAGGACCAGTACAAACCAGTATGACAACTGGCACAAATAGGAACTTTAGAATGGGTGAGTCAGCATTCCTTTCCAATACACACTCATGTTTATATACATATATATGTATGTATGTATACACACACATATTCACAAGCTAAATGGATGCATATCTCAGAAGTTTCATGTGCATAGCAATAAAAGAATCCCTAACAGTAACACTAAGATCCTTCATGGATGCTTACTTCAGAAATCACTGGACATATAAGTTTCTTCAGGTAAGAATGTTAAATTTAGGAAGGTTTCAGTGTATCAGCTTCCACTCCATGTTTATACAGCGTTTCTATTCTGCCCTTGCTTAAGAATAACCAGTCACAAAAACTTTTTATTGAATGGTCTTTGAAGTTATTACAGATACCATCGTGCGATACAGCTCACCTCTGCCCAGATACTACACTGTTCGCTCAGCCATGCCCCCATCACATTCCTAAAGTAGTCCTTGTAGCTATTTACAAGGTGGACAGGCAAATCCTAGGCCCTCAGTTAATAACCAGGTCAGCAACCCCTGGCAAGCGGAAACTACTCTCCACAAAGCTGCCAAGGACCTCTGCTATCCCCTCGAGGGCAGCTGCCCTACACGACGGGGAGCGGGCCTTTCGCGCTGCTGCCCGGCCCCTGAGGAGGGACCTGTCGGCTGCCCCAGCCGCGGGAGAGCAACGTTAGGGGGGCCGCTCCCTCCAGCCCGCTCTCCCCGGGGGCGAGGGGCGCCCGGGACACAACGCCCCCCGACCGCGGCCTGCAATGGACACCGCGCTCGTCGGCCCGGCCCTGCCCGGGGCGGCGCGATACGAGCGGTCCCTCCGGGGCCGGCAGCCCCCTCCCCGGCGCTCGAAGGTCTCTGCCCCCTCGCAGAGGAGCGCGGGGTCACAGGGCTCTGCGGGAGAAGAGCGCCGCGACCCCTCAGCGCCCGAGCCCCCGGGGCGCCGCGGGCGGGATCGGCCCGCGATTCCCCGGCCTGTCGCTAAGAGCCGCCCGAGGAGACCGCGGCCTGCAGCGCCCGGCCAGGCCCCGGCCTCAAGTTGCCTCCTTCCCCTGCCGCCCCTCGGAGCCCGGAGGCGGGGAAGCAGGAACAGGCACCTGTGCCAAACGCTGCTGAGGTGGGGGGAGGCGGCCAGTCGGCCGCCGAGCCCCGCAGCCCCTCCCTGGCTGGGGGTGCAGAGCTTTTCCCCATCCTCGGTGTCGCAGCTGATGTCAAGCCCTCGCCTCCTTCCTACCTGACAGCATCCCCCACCCCTACGGATCCCTCAGCCCTGGGCAGGCAACAGAGGGGACCTTAAGCCAAAAACCATAATCACAAATATATCCCCCCTTCTTCCACAAACGCGCCCTGCAAGGGGAGGGAGGAGGAACAAAACAAAACCCGACTCCCCTCCCCCAAAAGAAGATGGGGTGGGGGTGGCCCCAAAGTGACCAGTCCCTCGACTGAACCGATCCGGTTCCCGCCCGATGCCGAGCGGTACTGCAGCCCCCCCGGCGGACTCGGGGCCACCGCCCGCCCCCGGCAGCGATTGCTGACCCCCGGCCGGGAGCACGGCGCTGACAAATGTCACCCGGTGCCCACAATGAGAGCCGCGAGGCTGCTTCTTCTCCGTCGTCGTACCCCCAAAATAAGAAAATCCTCTTTTAAGAGAAAAGAGACACGAGCCATCAAATAAAAGGGCACCCCTAGCTCCCACCCCCAGCGCCCGGGAAACACTCTCGTAAAAACTTTGTCCAGGGCTCCCCCCCGATAATAGTAGAATTTAAAACCTGTCAACCATTTTAGATCTCTACTTGAGAAAACATCATTCCCGGGCACTGGTGGATTTGGGAAACGGCTCTGAGCAGCGCTGCCGCGGCTCCCCTCCCCCGGGCCGCAGGGGAGGCGGCCGGGGAGGAAGATGCTTCCTGGGGAGGGGGTGGCGGGAGGGGGCGAGGGACAGGAGCGTACGCTTTTACCTGAGACCAGCCACTGGCCTCCATTGTTGGAGAATTCAATGGCATTGACACAGCCGAAGTGGCCCAGGAGGTCCTTCTTGTAGAGGTTCCTGCAGCCCCGCAGGCGTCTTCGCTGGAAGTCTTGGGTGAGCAGGGGGTCCCCCTCCAAGCCCCGCTGGGACAGGAACCCCACCACCGACCGCATGCTGCCCCCACGGCTGCCTCTCCTCCTCATGCTGCCGCCTGCGCCGCT